TGCTTTTGAAGATTAACATGTAACTGCCTTTTACTTGAATGTCATATTTTCTTGCCTTTATCATATTTCAGAATTTACTAAGAAAAACAGACCTTCATATTTACACTCGGTGTGTAAAAACAGAGTCATGGATTAAAAATTGAGCTTAATAGACACTTTGAACAATTAAAACACTCAGTAGAATAAAAGAAAATGTTCAGGTACACCTTTTTAATTAACTTTTAGAGGTGCCAATAAATGTGGCCCCTATGATTTCATTTAAGACATAATGTTCTTTAATTAAATATTGTTCTTTTTTTTTGTTGTTGTTTGTTTAATATGAGAACTATTTAACTGGTCCATCAAGTAAGTAAAGTGGGTTCCTGCCATTTAACTGAATGGCAGGAACATTTTTTTTGTTAAAATCATGGCTCAAATTTAGTTTAATTTGCTCTCTAATAGATAGGAAACACATGCTAATGAACCCCGTCATTGAATCATGCCGAAGCAGTGAGTGGGATGTGAAAAGGATATCATGTCGTTGCTGTTGGTTCAGACTCTGTGGACCTGCAAACAGGAGGTGATTTGCTTCCTCATAAAATAAGCATTCATCAAATGGATGTTTTCTTTTTCTCTCTCTCAGTCTAAATACCATTTAACACCTTTTGGTTCATACAAATATCACGCAACCACGTAATGGATGCTCATTGAAAATTGGAAGAATGTGACAATGCATGTGTCATACTTCATTTCATCTTTTAGATTATTATTTGTTTGTCTCTATAAGTCACTTGTGATTTATTTATTCAAATGAAATTGTAGATATTGAACAAATTATCTTATCCAAAGAAAGGTCAGAGAATGTGATGTCAGGGTTATAACCCGCCTCTCGTCCAATCACAGCTGGAGACCTCAGTCCTGCAAGGAAAAGCGAGTTTGCATGGATGGATGGGAGAACTGGATAAAATGTTTTCTGCCTATGTTAAATGCATGAAACATTGGTAGCATAGTTTTGTAAATAAGACTGGAAAGCTGCTCATGCACGACCTTAAATCCTGCAAAAGTTTTCTTGAATTCACAGTTTTCACCAGTTTGATCATTTTCCTCCTGTAGCTAAACCTATAGTTCTCAGAGAACTTTCAAAGGATCCGAATGATCTCATTGTGCAAAAGTATCTGTCAGGAAGTGTATATACAATCCAAAGGATTATATATAAACTATGGTGCAGTACAGGCTGTCACCAATTATTATCGGAGGGGATATGGGAGAACAGAGAGAAACTGGGGATTTCTCTAAAATTGATGAAAAGATGTGACAGAAACAGGAAGTGTGCTGAGAAAGGAACTCTGATGAAGCCACCAGGAATTTCATGTGACATGTGACAATTTCCATATGGCTGGACTAAGAAGTTTGGTTTCCAGACGTTATTATTCGTTTTCTGTTTGAAATCTCCCTTAACATCAATGGAGAATGTTTTACTCAAACTGTATGCAATCTGGTTCTTGAAGCTGCTTTATTCATCTCCCTTCTGACAGATTTATTTTGCAGTTCAGTTTTACAGGACGAATATGACACGAGGAAAAGGTTTTATCTATCGAGGCCTCTAGCAGGGGTTTGTATACTTTTAAAAGCTACTGTAAATATATGTCTATTTTATTACACTGACTAAAACTATCGAGCACAACGTGTACAAAGACATAAAAATGTTGGAAACCGCAGATTGAACTAAGTTTTAAAATGAGCACAGACTGACAAAGCCTCCTCTTCTGTGCGGTAGCTAATGAGTTGGCTCATTTATTAAGTCCTCCAGCAGGAAAGCACCGTGCTCCTGCACGGTGGGCAAAAAGCTTTCAGAGCACTAGACCACTAGAGTCTCGCATTAAAATAAGGCAAAGCACTTTGGATTTGGTGGCAGAAGAGCCTCTGCGCGGCGAGCTGATAACCACTTATGCAGATCTAGGAGAGCGGGTCAGGAGAGCATGATACAGCTCAGTGTATTTGTTAACACTGAATAATGGGAGCAGGTAAACTTTGGAGAGAGCTGTAAACTCCACTATTTTTAGGCGAGAGCAGTTTTCCGCTTCGGCGCTTGCATGCTGTTTTGCAGAAAAGCAGGAGTTGACATTTTTGAGAAAGAATCCCAAATAATAATAATTAAAAAAGGCAGATTATTGTGTGTTGATTTACATGAAACTTGAATATTCTGCTCCATCGAGGAGGCTGATTAAATCTCTTAGTTATTGAGTTAAATTACACTAGTTCTGTTTATAAATTTAAGGTATTGTCTGTTGGATCCAGATGTACAAACATCGATCTGTTCTGCTCACAAAAATATACACATTATTTACTTCCATCCATCCTCTTTGACCTGCTTCCCTGTTCCTCCTGAAAGGAAAAAAAAACATCTCCACAGCATAATGCTGCCACCACCATGCTTCAGCTGGTAATTACACTCAAGGGTGTTAGTTTTCTGTCAAACATAGTATTTTGCCTGCTGACCAAAACCAAACTGGGGTTGTCCTTTGTATGCAGAAAAGGGTCAGCGCGTGCACATCTCTCTTCTTTCTGCTTCCTGTTCACGTCGCCGTCTTCTTCCACATCCAGACATATTAACTTCAGCCGCAACTTGGTGTTATTTCTCAAAGAGTTGGACCGACTGCAGCGCACGCCAGTCATAATTATGACTGTCGGAGAGAAGAGACGTGCAAAAGCTTCCGCGTCTCTCCCTTGTTAATAAATATTACTCAACAGGACTGAGCTCCGGGGCAAACCAAGCACACACACACACACAAAAAGTGTTTATTGACAGATTTTAATTGGTATCTAATAGGTGTTTGATATGCTGCAGTGAATGGATCCATTCACAGAGTCACACTGAGTGCTTTCTTGCATCCAACACCAGGAGCGTCGTCGCTGCCAAGCTGTCACAGGTGCAGGATGTGGAGCGGCGGCGGAGTTTTTGGCTCGTCCCAAAGACAGCTTTCATTTCATTTCCCCGAGGCAGGTGCTGTGAGGTTTCCTGTTTCTCTTGGTCAGTGAGGGATGGTTTTTGTCTTCATTTGCCAGCTAGTGTGGTCTGTTCGTGGTGCTGGATTCCGCCATTTCGACTGAGTGTTAGAGAGAGATATGAAAGGGTTGGAAGGAAAGAAATCCGCTTGGAACAACTGCTCTTCCGCTTTGCTTAAGAGATTATGTTTCTAAAGCAGAACTTCTCTGTACTATTTCACATTTAGCTTTTTGATGTATTTATTTACCGAGAACTGCCTTGTTGGAGAATAATAAGGGAGGTAAGCAGTAAGAGGGAAAAAAATAAACAAACGTGTACTGTTATAAAATATAAAGCCCCACCACCAGATGTCCAAGTGAAGATGAAATACAAATCTTACACTAAAGGCTATAAATTGGCCAAATATGGTTGTCGTCCGACAGGAAATACATTTTAACAGTCTGGCTAAACAGCTGTGCACAAGGAGGCAGATCAAGAGAAAGCGGGAACAGAGAGCGGTGCGGAGGAGAGACGGAGGAGATGTAGTCTTTGAGAAAATTAGCACTTCTCTGAATAACCACTGCGAACTGTAATTTTTTATGACGACGCGTGGGCGCGGTGCCAGAGGATTACAGTCTGCGTGTGGCAGAGAGAGAGAGAGAGAGATGAATTGTAGGTCCCAGTCTCTTCCAAAGGCAGCAGCAGAAGGACAGATTGACACAAGGGCTTTTGCGCGATTCTCCTCTTTACCAAGGTGCGGCCATGTTGGACCAGAGGAAGGTTTTCACAAGCATTTCATATCTGGAGGAGCTTCATGTTCTTCCTACTACAGGTAAAGAGAGGGCGGAGTTTGTAAACTGCACTTGCTCATAAAAGAGACTATTTCTCTGGATTTGAGGAAGATGCTCAAGAACCTTTTTTGTTATCAATCAGACTAAAAGTTAATTTATGGAGCACTTTTCTTACACAAGGAGGGCACCACTAAGCGCTTCATGTAAGACTGAAACGGGAAGCAAAGACAAGCCACAAAACGACGAAGAAGAAAAAAAACATTATAAGCTAAACAACGGCAAGGCATGGAAAAAATAAAATTCACTGAAATGTGTGATTAACAGATATAACCAGATGTGGTTTACAGAAATCTGAGTGGGAAGACTGACGTCATAAATAATTAAAACGGGAATAAAGAAGTACACGCATAATGAAAAGAAACGAATATAATGTTATCAAACTAAAACCAACTGACTGAAAAACGTAGTGAGCGACTTAAAATCAACTCAGCAAGGTCAGCGAAAAGTACAAAAAAAAAAAAAATCGTTTTCAGATATTTAACAAACCTGGTCAGTTCTAATGTTGTTGGTCTTACCAGGAAAATGTTGACAGCTTCCTTTTGAGCACGGAGTCGGTCTTTCTCTCTGCAGAGGAGTTGAAGCGTCTTGCTGTGTTGTTCTCTAGGGATGGCAGGATGGAGCGAGAGATGAATAGATGGATGTGGGTGTTGCTCTGGTCCATTGTGATAAAGAAAGAGTGAAGATAAATAGCAAAACTCTTGCTTTACTAGTCTGCCTACGGTCTGACCCTCACCTGGACTCACAAAATATGAGCCGTGTACAAAGTGCTGTCGGATGGCCGGACTCAACCTTAGAGATGAGGCTCCAGGATTTTACCACCAATCAGGGGTTGTGTGTTGTGAGTGTGTGATCTTATAGGACCGGGAAAGTATTTCACATTTACTGAACTTCACCAAAATGAAGTCATCAGTGGACATTAGTAGCTTTTCCTTACATGAGTGCAGTAGTAAAAAAGTGATGGTGGCTAACACAATTAAAGCATCTCACATAAAGATGGATGATTAAAAAAAAAAAAAAAAACATTACTAGCACCTTGTAACCATTTATAAAATGTAAATGGTGGACAGCCCAAAAACTAAATCTTTCTAAAGATCTCCGGGGTTCACTTACAATCCAGTCACTTTTTCCATCTCTCTCTCTCTCTCTTTCTCTCTCTCTCTTTCTCCATTCTTTATTTAACACAGCCATGAAGTCGGACCGCAAACGTCTCAAGGCGGAGAAGGCCGACCTGGTGAACCAGATGCAGCAGCTTTATGCCACACTAGAGAGCCGGGAGGAGCAGCTTCGGGACTTCATACGCAACTACGAGCAGCACAGGAAAGTATGGCATGCTCATAGACTCCCACGGCGCATTTGGCTGACAAACGTACATGTTTGAACTTTAGTTGTTGTGCTCACTGGCTTGGCATTGCATAAAAAACGCCTCGTAGGTAAAGATGATCGATATCATCTGCATCTGTGAAGCTTTGACAGTTAAATCAGTGAGCCCTTGCTCTGTTTGCCAATATTTGAGGGGGAGTGTGCGCAGATGAACGGCGATACTCTTATTTCTCTTACTAAAACCAGTTAAACGTGTAGAGTGACGAGACCATTCCAGTTGCTTTTTTCCCACACGCGAGTCGTGCGGTAGGGCTTTACATGTGAACCAATCCATCAGGATCTGTGTGTCTGCCAGGAGAGCGAGGACGCAGTAAAGGCTCTGGCCAAGGAGAAAGACCTCCTGGAGAGGGAGAAGTGGGATCTGAGACGGCAGACCAAGGAGGCCACGGAGCACACGGGCATGCTGCGCTCCCAGCTCGACCTCAAGGAGAACCGCATCAAGGAGCTGGAGGCTGAACTCGCCATGGTGAGACAGAGGAGCTGACATTGTTGTTTATCAGAAAGAGGCATTCAGGATGAGGCAGTGAAATCTATAGTGGAGCGACAAACTGAATAAAAATGTTCATTTTGGTAGGTTTTCTAGAGAACATAGTCATGTAGATGCAGAAATATTGTTTGTATTTAGACTTTTTGATATAAAGAGTAACAAGAAGCCAGACTCTAGTTAGCTTTGCCAAACTAGACTCTTTTTTTTTTTTTTCCTCCTACACTCTTCCACAGCTGAATTTATGAATTGACTTAAGAAATTGCCTGACAAGCATAGTTAATGTTTCGGTGTCATTTATAGGAAGTTAAACTCTCAGCTCTCTAGCTTCTATTTGTAGCATTTTTTGCTCCTATCTACTAAATGAAAACAGATTATTCCATGATTTCAATGTGAAGTGGAGGAGGGGCTTTGGCTTTTCCATCATAACAGTGCAGAAAAAAAACAACAAAAAAAAAAAACAACACATTGCTGTCCCTCCCCAACCTGCTGCTGTACGCCGCCTGCTAAAACAAGGCTGACACTTTCCTTTCACTTAACAGACTCAAATGCTTATTTTTTTATGATTAGGTCTGTTTATCTCTTTAAAAAAGACTATAAAAACTGTTTATGTCATACCTGTAATGAGCGATATGTTTCATAAAATTAGCAGCAACATGATTGTTGCTTTTCTGTTTTGATTACAGTAAGGTCATGCTGTTCAGTTTTGCTGTAATTCATTTTCTTAAGTCTTACACCAGTTCATGCCGAGAAGTACGGAAGAGGATTAGGGCCACTGAAAAAGAAAGAAAAAAAAAACCGGACTTTAATCTGAGATTTCTGACTTTTTTTTTCTCAGAATTCAGATTTTCTTTTAAGTGGCCCTAATCCTTATTCATACAAGATATTAATTTTTTTATAGGCACTGTGATCATTAGCAACAGAAAGACAATTTCATTACTTTTACCACTACATTATGTTTTCCTTATACAGATTTGTATTTCATGGTGTTAGTAGGCATATACTAAATGATTTCAGAGCACGAATTAAATACTAAAGAAGTGCTAGAGTGCTGTGTATAGTCTGTCACATGCAGTGTTTTACGTACAACATTTGATTAAAACGAACAAAAAAAAAAATGTTTAAATTTGCAACACAGCGATTCCTCATGTCTCCAACCCCCCCCCAGATGAGTAACTGTGTCAATCAGAGAACGGAGTTCCGGGTGTTTGAGCGGCTTGTGGACAGGGACTACTCTCCTAGGGTCACGGCGGTAAGACAGGCCCACAGTTTGAAAATAAATTTCACCTGTTTTGATCCCAACTCTCCCCGGAAATCTCCCCTACCTGTCACCCAGTTTTGATTTTCTGGGAAGCATTTCTCCTCAGATGCACGTTTCTTTTTTTATATATATGTAATCCCCTTGTTTGACCCCAGTGATCCTAACATGGGAAATGTCACAGATTATAACGGTGATCACCCTGAATGCGATAAAGCTCATCTGTATTCTGACATCTAATTGCGCTGAACATTTTTCAGTGTATCCAGTTTTGCATGTCAAAAAAAAAAGAAAAAAAAAAAAGAAAAGTGACTGATAATTGTTTGACTACCACTAAACTAGATGTGATTGCGGTGAACAATATTTGAAGCGATTTTTAAATGGCAACATGTCACAGCTAACCGGAAAACACAGGCTGGTGGGGGGGGGGAAATGAAAGAATATTTTTTTCTTCTGAGTATATTTTTTTTTGGGGGGGGGAAAGCATATCTTCTAAGGCTGCAGAAGCTCATTGTTGTGTGTGGGGGAAAAAAAACGCCTCAAAGCAAACATATTCATTAAAGTTATAGAAAGACTTAATTGTTTTTCATTTTCTTGGTTTATTTTTGCACAACACCAACCCTCCAGCTTCCGCCCTCTTAGCAACAAAAGCTTCATGCCTCTTATCACTATTCTTCCCCCTCTTTTTTTTTGTTTTTTTTTTTGTTAATGTTTTGGTTTTAACAAAACATTAACACTCCCAGGAGTGAGAGTGAGAGATTTTGCAAAGGAAAAAAGAATGAGAATGAGAAAATGGACAGATTATTCCAGATACAAGAGCAGCATGACGAGCCAGGAGGCAAGCTCGCATATCTGTGTGCACTAACACGTTGGGGAAACTCGTTGTGGCTTTCTGGATGCGTAACATGTCTGCGAGTGAAACAGGGCGCACAAATAACGGTAACGGGAGCCAGGGAACCAGACGCTGTGCAGCATGAACATGTGCGTGTGTCTGCTTATCTCCTTAAGGCCAAACAGTCACTAGCCACGCTGACAAAGGATGTGCCCAAGCGTCACTCATTGGCCATGCCCACGGAGGCGGTCGTCAATGGCAACAACCAGGAGTGGGTGATGCAGGCGGATCTTCCCCTGACTGCCGCCATCAGGCAAAGTCAGCAGACCCTCTACGTCCACACGGGCCATCCCACTGACAGACAAGGTAGGCCGACACGAGGGCAGATTGCCTCGTAAACGTGTTGAGATTTGTGGCCCCATCGCTTACAAACTGCATGCTCACGTGAAGCTGGTCTCTACGCATTAAATCGCGCCATCTGCTAAATATTATGATGTTCCAGCTGTGTTATGCCATGCGCTTTATTTCCTCTGAGGTGGCAGCCAAAAATAAGTTGCATGTTAAGTGCATGTGGTCAGTCCTAAATGGAATATGTGTTTGAATTTTTATGTCGACATTTTCAGGTTTCGTCTTTGTCAGAGTCGAAAAAGAAACAGGATCTCCTATGACTTGTAAGCATTAGTCTAAAAGGAATGGCGGATTTGAGTGCCGCTTTCTAATATAATTAGAACTTAATTACATTTTAATGCAAATACAAAATATGCGAGGGTTTCACTGTAACAAAGCTGCACTGGAGTTACCCGCCCCCCCAACAAAATAGAGCACAATTTCTAAAACTGAGTACTTAAGAGATGTGCAACAGGATGCCCTCAGTTTTACCAGTATGGAGAACTGCATAAACGTTTATGAAGCAAAAATTAGTGAACAGATCAAACACACCTTGAGGTCCATTACTCCAGTTTTTTCTTTGTCAATCCTTAGTCAGCTTGTAAATAAACACACAAAAAAAATAAGGATTCAGTGGCGGTTCTGATATTGTCTCTCTAGAGGTATTGCAAAATCACATTTGAAATTTGAATTCCTTTTTCTTGAGGAGTTCAATTCTACAGTTCTACATCATGTAGACAGAAAGTATATCGGTAGTTTTTGCAGCTTCACTCCTCCGTAAAACTGAGTTTGTGTTGAGAGACTTGCAAAAAAAAAAAAAAACATATTTTTAATAAATTAATTATTATGTTTTTACAAAACCAAAATACAACTTCACTCAGGATATCTGAATGCACATAAATACATATGCAGACAACCTTCACTGACTTGCCAGTATTTTGATCTCTGACATATACGTCACTCTTTGTCAGAGAAATTTTAATCTTGGTTTTGTGGTAAAAGTTTCAGTAAATACTACAACAATTATCTAAATGATTACTTGGCATAATCCAATACAAATATCACAAACAGCCCATTTTTTTAAACTTTTCTAACTCAGTGCTGTACAGATAACATTGGTGTGCTTAAATAGAAAAAAAAAACAACAACTGGACATTCCATTCTTAGCTGTGATATTTTATTTCCTTCCCTTTACTTTGCGAGCATATTGCTAATAGCATATTTATCATCAGTCTCGTGAGAGAATAAAACATTCTGTGTTGCTGTAAGAGTAAAGTTTCTGTTGAATTCCTATGTCCCACAGCTTCCACTAAAGGATGTGTTACTACACACAAAGTCTGATGTTTTTGGAAAGCCGTAACTACGGGCTTTGCCAAACAATGTTTTCCGACATAAAAAAAAAAAGCATAGAAGAAAGCAATAAAGTGGAGAAAACGCTGCATAAATTAGCCTCGCAGCTGTACAAAAGCCTTAAAATGCATTGTTTTAAATGGCAGCCGTAGGTCCACGCACCAGTTGCTAACTAATTGGGGACATCTGGAGGAAGTCGCGGACGAACGCAAGAAGACGGGGAAGATGTGGGAACAGTCACGAACTCCAAATTGCATTGCAATTGGCTGTGCTTTATGTATCAGTCTCATTGGTTCGGGCACACGCTCTCTAAACCTCTGTGAAGCTGTTTCCCTGTTGCTTAGCAACTGCAGCTGGTTAGAAAAATATACTCTCTTTTTCTTCCTCCATTCATTTTTAAGCTAAGTTTTATTCTGCTGTGTTGTACTGATACTGAGGGTCCACCATATTTTATTTTATTTTATTTCATTCCCCCCCTCCCCTCCATTTTGTACCATTGGTGCCCCAAACTCCCGAGACAAAGGTAAGCCTGTCCTCTCTCCCCTCTTGTCCCGTCTAGTGGCTGCGGTGCGAGTGAGCCCCATCCACTCGCGTCAGCCCTCCATCATCTCTGACGCCTCTGCAGTGGAGGGAGATCGGTCGTCGACGCCCAGCGACATAAACTCGCCTCGTCACCGGACTCACTCCCTCTGCAATGTAAGAGCTGCCCGCCTCTGCGCCCTCCCAAGTGATCACCTGTTCTGCTCTCGTAGTAACTGCTGACTGTTCCACCGCCTGGCCGCCGTCGTTTCCCCCTCGCCGTCCTTTTGGCTGAGTTCACATTTGCCCCCATGCATTTCTGTCGTGCACTCACTCTGGAGGCGTGATATGATTTTTTTTTTTTTTTTTTTTTGGGGATTAAAAACAAAAATAAAACAAAAATGAATTGGGTAGTAAATAGGTGTGTGCTCAACAGCATGAAAAGTTTCATCTCTCCTTTCTGTCGTGATCTCTTTTGGTATTTTTTTTTTTTTTGCAACCTTTCTGCTCTTGTAACTCTCCTTTTCTGTGGTCGTCAGTTCAGTTTTTTTTTTTTTTTTTCCTCTCTTGTTCCTCCTGCAGTCCCTAGAAGATCTGGAGGAGGCGAAGCGTAAGAAGAAGAAAGAGAAGATGGGGCTGGGCTCGCTGTCGCGTGTCTTTGCCCGGGGAAAGCAACGCAAGTCTCTGGACCCCGGTTTGTTTGATGGTACTTCCACACCCGATTATTACATAGAAGAGGATGCAGACTGGTAAAAAGCACAGCTCTCTGAGTGAACCCACCTGTGGACCACGTTGCATTTAATGTGTGAGAGGACGGATGTCGGAGTGTATAGATATAATATAATACATGCGCCTGTTTAGCCCCACAACAAGGGGGATAATTGTACATGTTCGTGTGTGTGTGTGTGTGCGTGCGTGTTGGTGTGCACGTGCGTGGTTAGGCCAACGGTCAGAGGCCGAGTCAGGAGCCAGAGGCGCGTCTTGCTTTGCCGAAGTGTATCTCTTATTGAACACATTGCACCTGTACGTATGTACACTTCTGTAAATAGAAAAACACAGCAACAATGTGGACTTGCTCTGTCAAAGCTGTGTTCCTGGATCTTCTTCTTGACTTTTTGTTTTCAAAAAGCTGGAAACTTGAAGGACTGCTGTATCTGTAAATAACAACGGTTGTTGTTCACTCTGTGCTTGTAAATGTCTCCATGTTCCGATTAACTTTTGTTCATTTTGACATGAATTCCCCTCACAACTCAAAGCCCCTTTGTTTTGTTTTGTTTTTTTTGTCCTGCCTGGTCCTCCCCTCCCTTTTCACACAGCCATGATGAGAACAGTTTCCTGTAGGCAACATGCAGACTCCTCAGTTCCAACAACAATTCGATTATCATTTATCGCATTCCTCAGAAAACGAAAACTCAACAGGGGCTCTAACTGGTTGCAAAAGAGCCGCTGAGCACGGGGTCAGCTTTCTACGCTGAACCGTTTGTTCAATAATAATGATGAAGCCAAACAGGAAATGCAAAAAAAAAAAAAAAAAAAAAAAAGATTTCTATCTGCTAAGATAGAACGTACAGTGCCTTGCCAAGGTATTCATTTTTTTGTTTTCTCCACGTTTTTGCAAAATAACTAATTATCTAATTCCATCCAATTGATGCTCTGGTTGTATATCTGTTCTATATCGATAGCAGATTTTTACTCCAGGATTGCTCCATCCATGTTTCTGTCAACTCTAACCAGCTTCCCACCAATCATGATGCTGCTGCCAAAGTGTTTTACCATGTTGGGCCAAAACGTTACATTCTGTTTTCACCTGACCAGAGATCACGCTAACTGAGAGCTTGCAAAATGGCATCGGTCACGGACCGGCTAATTATTTGACATCACATGAGGCTGAGGCAACAGTGTTGTAAAATGAGAAGAAATACTGCCCCTTACAGGAGAAGGTTCCCAATATTTTTCACAATTTGTGGCGGAAATTTTGAAACAAACTTAACAGTTATGCACTAGAATGACAAAATGATCCATTGATTATGCGTGAATTTCTGTGATTAATGTAATTTAGCATCTGGAGTCTAGATGGCCACATAAAAAGCTATGGTGGGCCAGATTTGTCCCCCGAGCATCAAGTTTGACACATGTGCTTTCGTAGGTATTAATGGCTCGTTTAACATTGCTTTGTGACGAGCTAAAATTTTAAAAGGTATTTTTTTTTTTTAATCCAACTCGGATTTAATCTGCAGCACAACTTTAACCTTGATGTGTCTGCAGTGACCCTTGATCTCTATGGTGTTGCTTGTTCACTAGTGTCCTCAGACGTCCTTGATAGATCAGCTTGGCTTATTCTAAGAGACTGTGTGTGTATAAATCAGGTAACCGGTAATCGCTAGACGGTTTCATCGGCGTTTATGGGGTAACGGAGTAAAGAGAGCTAAATGGTTTCTACATCATTCAGATTTTTTTTAGATCAACCATGAATGCCTCCACGGTTATGGTTTGCTCTTGTGTCAGTCCGTCACATAAAATCCATTGAAGTTTGTGGCTGTGATGTGACAAAATATCCAAACGTTCGAGGGATACTTATGCAAGACAATGCACACACCTGAACATGGAACATGCATGCAAATAGCCTCAGACCCCCAAAGCATGCTGAGAGGGTTGTGTTGCATATGTTGTCAAGAAGGCACTTTAAAAAAAAAAAAAAAAAAGAGAGGCCAGTTACTGATTTCATGATGTTTATTCGTGGTTTTGTCAGATTCAAATGCATCCTTTTTTTTTTTTTTTAAGCTCGGCTCTTTAATTTTCTTTGATTACTCTGTTGTGGTTTAGCAATTTAGCCATATTCTGCATCTCCAAGGCAACATTTCCAAGTGGGAATCAATTTGGAAATTTCAAGATCAGCAAAGCTGTCAAGAAACCAACACTATTTTAAATCATTCATAGTTTTTCCTCCCATTTTCTTTTAACTTGATCTCGCCGCTGCTCGCAGCTATCATTATGCTAATACTCCGAAAAGCTGCTGGGGTTGGATTATGTTTCTAAAATTAGACGCTAGATATAAAACCGATGGTCAAGACTTTTGCTAGACCGCTGGAATCAAAGTTGTTTTTAATTAATAACTGGAACTGCAATTAAAAGAAGCGTACATTAAACAAAAGACTCCAACGCTGATGAGTGCCACCTCGGAAGGTTAGAAATCAGGTCTTAAGCATACTAATCAAGTAAAAGCATTGCTTTCCAGGTGACCCCCTGAGCTCCATAGACAGTTTTTGTTTTACGCTTCTTCTGGGAAAAAAAAAAAAAAAAGCAATTAGCTCTGTGTTAAAGGTTAATAACATTTCTTCAAGCCAAAGAATGTCCAGAGACACAGGATTCTTTTCATCCTGGATCAAATTGGAGTCTGCACTGCCCCCACTGGAAATCTCTTCTCTCCCTGACATTAAATTATCACTGGGTTTTCTTTAGCTGTACCAAAAACCACCCCAAAACAGTGCAAGAAGGCACTGGAGCTATTTTTTTAACCAGACTTTACGAGAAAAGAGGATCTTTGGAAAAAGTATTTGCTGCCAGACTTTTTTTTTTTTTTTTTTAACATGGTCACAGTTCAATGTTTCAGATCATCAAACTAATTTTGATACAAGACACGACAACCTGAGTAAATATAAAATGCAGTTTCAAATTATGATTTTAATTCGTTAAGCTATCCAAAGCATCCTGCCCTTGCGTGAAAAAATAATTGCCCTCTAAAACCAGCTACTAATTGTTCCACCCTTGCCAGCAACAACTTCCATCAGCTATTTATGATAATTGGCAATGAGTCTTTTACATCACTGTGGAGGAATTTAGCCCACTTTTCTTTGCACCAGTATGTAAATCAGCCTCACTGGAGGGTTTTAAATAGCCTACTCTAAGTCATTACCGAAGCCTTTAGTTCAGATTTAATTCCAAACTTTGACTTGAAGATCTTTTTTTTTTTTTTTTCTATGATTCAGAGGCGGATTAGCTAGTGTGCTAGAGTTGAGTCATGGAGCCTTGTGAAGCTTCATAACTCGAGCACGCTTGAGTTTTAAGACAAGAACATATGGCTGGACATTCTCACCTGCTTGATTATCTGAAACATTTAGGAAATTCAAAGATAAATCATCGCATATTCAGCTGTATTTATAGGAACAACTCAACCAGTTAAGGTGTTCATTATCAAATAGTATATAGGAAAAATACAGGCTACTTTTTATGTTTTCATTTAACCAGTTTTTACCTGCTGACTGGGGGGGGGGGAAACTACATATCAAATGCAGCATTGTATGATTTCATATTCTGAGCCACGGGGTGTGTTTTTATTCTTCCACAGATATTTTACTTTTTTGTAAAAATGAGATAGCATTACAGAAATGAGATGAATATTATTGTTATTATTATTATTGAAGAGTTTTATTTAAAGTCAGAGATGTAGGCCTCAGTGTGGAACTGAGATATTTAGAAGTAGATAGTAGCAACTTTCTAAGGCATGGCAACGACGTTACGCTAAAAAAAGAAAACAAACAATAAAAAAATAAATATTATTTTAAAATAAAATAAGGGATAATGATTTCTATGTGGCTGTCCTCTCTTTTCCTGTGTTTGTGTTATGTGTTTTTTTGTTGTTACTTCTGTCCCGTTTTTAACGTGGGGTTGCTGCAGTGTGCAGCCTTCAAATGGCCTTTTTTTCCTCTGTTCCCCTCTCTGATTTCTTCATTCCCAGCTAATTTTCCCCCCACCCTACATTTCTCAAAAAGCTGCATTAGTTTTGTCAAAACAAAAGGGATAAGGGAAGATAAGGCCATGTCAGATCTCATGTGTGAGCGCATGGTGTCAATAATGGTGTGTACCAACGTGACCACTAACCTGTAACTCTGACCCCTTCCTGTCAAACTCCCATCCTACTCTCAACACAGTGGAGCGACCCAAGAAGCAACCAGTCACATTCAAAGAGTTTGGAGGAAAGACGATTTCTTGTTGCTTCAACAAAGCGTTGCACTGGGTTGCAAACTGTGTTGGCAGATACCTTCTAACTTTCAAACAACGTCACACTCTGACCCGACTTGGCACTTCTTCAAGTTGAAGTGTAGAGGTTTTTTTGTTTTGTTTTGTTTTGCTTTATAGAAAGAAGATGTAACGGTGTGAAACAGAAAGTGAGTGCCGAAACAGGCTTTTGAGAGCAACAGTAAGTTTCATGACATATATTGGCAAGTCACTTTATTAGCCACATCTTGGTAAATTCTTTTTTTTTTTTGTTTGTTTAAGAACTTGGGCTCAAAAAATATGTCAAATCTAGCAAAATTGGTAAAAAAAAAAAAGAATGAAAAAAAATATTTGTAGTGTTGGTTTATGTCAGATTAATTTCCAATTTTGCTGCTGCAGTTTTTAAAAAAATATTATTGAATGCATGAGTGGAGGTCACTGAAGGTCAGTCAGGACACATTACCCAGATCAAACAAAAGCGGTGTCCATGGTTTTGTGCATAGTTTGTTTTGGTTTGGTCAAAAAAATATTGTTTATGCCACTATCATTATAGAGACTCTGCAGTATAGATCAGTTTTTGTTTGACTTTATATCCATGATGATATTCTCATATTCCACCATCATCCCAAAAGTTCTCAAAATCTATTACTGAAAAAAACAAATGCAGACTTGGATTTGTCATGTTGTTATGCCAGACAGACATGCAGAACAACAAATATTTTCTAATAGAGTAGGCTGTATTCTGTTGCAGGCTTTAGTTTATTTAAACTGACATGGTGTTAATATCTCACCTATAGTTGATTTATTTCAGAAGATTTTATATTTGCACCCTATTTCCATCGATAAAGATTTTCATCCCCATCTGGGTCGGGTGACTCTTCTAAAATATGACTGATTGTGTTCAAACCTCCCTATCAAACCAAGTTAACAGAATGTGGTAGAGGAGTTTTCAGTCAGCATATTTTATCTGTATTTTTTGTTGTTGTGATACTAGGAGCCTTTATTTATCGTAACGTGAGAGGAAAGCAGGCAGACAGAGAAAAGGGAAAACGTTCAGAAAATGTTGTGGGGCCATGGAGTCGGAACCTGCACGACTGTGCTGAGGAGTAATTGCCTCTAAATGTTTCATGATGTCTACCATTTAAGCACAGGCTGTGACCACAATTAGATTTTTTATTTATTTATTTTTTTATCTAAACAAATAAAGTTTAAAATCCAGTAAATTCCAAACGATCACTCCAAGAACAGGAAACCCTGCAAGGCTTAGGGTTTCCTAAGCTACGATTAGGCACAAATAGAGGGGGTTGTATTTGATCTATGGAATATAATTTTGATACTTTCATGATTTGGGTCTACTTTTCAGTCAAATCATCCATCCAGTAACAGATTTCTGATAAACAAATAACAGGTTTGCTCATTGGCTTAGTTCTCTCAAGCACCATTAAATAAGCTGCAATAAGTGGGTTTTCTTTCAGTGTTTCAGTGTGATTTTCATAGTAAAAAAAAAAAAAGCAACTTTAAGTTTGAAAAACAGAAGTTCTTCTCAAAAAGTCGATTTATTCAGTTTGATTTAAATCACAAGGTATGAAATGAAAGTTTACAAAGATCGGTCCACTCCTAAATCTTTTTTTGAGTCAACACACTCAACTCGGTACAAATGATTAGTTTTGTGTTTGCCTATTACTGCAGAGACGCAGAAAGCAAGAAGAACCAAAATGATACATTTTTCTTTATTTGGGGCTCTTCTGGGTAAAGCTTAGAGCAAAATCTCAAAAGTTGTGACTGACAGAGGACAATATTCAATCTGATGTATATCTATATATATATATATATATATATTCACTGTAATAAAATGGATGCTGAATGTGCAGAGAACAAGGACAAAGACTCTGCATTGTCCATTATGACTGAGCTGAAAGATGGATGCTTTTATCTTAGGCTCATTAGTTTCCCAGCAGCCTCACTGTTTTAGCCTTGAAGGCTGTGGCTAATGTTCTTTCATAGGGCGAGGCAAACAAAATAGGTGTGTTGAAATGCATGGTAATAATTCAAAGATTTGCAAATGTAATTCATGAGTCGTGTGGCTATTTTTGCCGCTACACACTTCCTGTGTACATCAAATACAAGGAAGCGATGCATAATGAACTGTGAGGATGTCGCCACCTGCTGTTCGAGTAAGGGAAACGCTTTCATTCGCGTTTTTTTTTTTTTTTTTGCCTCCTGAAAACATAATTTATTGATAAAATGTAAATGTTTTATCTATCATTTTTTTTTTTTTTTTTTTTGATAAACGTTGCAAATCGGCAGGGGGGATAGCTTTACATCCATTCAGGGTGCCAGCAGGACATTGATGTAATATAAGATGCATGAGAATACTCCACACATCGCCTAACTGTAGGGTTCCTGCAGGCTTATTTATATGGATGAGTCATGTTATTTTAAAAGCTCAAACAGATGCTCCACTTAATGGACTTTTTAAGTGAGGAGCTTGTTAATAAAAAGCTGCATCCTTGTTTCCAGTACTATAGCTGCCAAGCACATTCTTGTAATGAAAGAAAATGATTTCCCTCCCAACGGGCTTATTTTTTTCACATTGAACCTCTTATTGTTGCGGCGCATTAACGCCTTTGCTCTTATCATTGCTCACAAAACCCACTGCCACCCCTGCCTCCACTCAAAAACTTCACCCACATCACCCATCTGAACCTCATCCCCCTCACCCACCCAGACTCAGACAGCCTCTACAGCTCCACCCGCCTCAGCCTGTCAGACGGGTCGGAGGACCAGCTCGACCGCCTCCAGCAAGTGGAGCTGGCCAGGATGACGCCCATGTCTCAGTGGAGGGCTGGCACCGTTCAGGCCTGGCTGGAGGTTGTTATGGCAATGCCTATGTACATCCGCACCTGCTCGGAAAATGTCAAGAGCGGAAAGGTAACGCCAGCTGCGGGTTTCATCTCAAGCTTCCAAGCAGGAGGGGTTGTAACGGGTCCGTTCTAACATTTTCCAGGTCTTACTGGGACTGACGGATGAAGACCTGGAGCTGGGTTTGGGCGTCAGCAGCTTAATGCACCGCCGGAAACTTCGCCTGGCCATAGAGGATTACAGAGAGGCTGAGAATGGCAAAGAGTGAGGAAGGCCTAAAAACAGCCTCATTGGAGAAACTGAGCGTTATAAGACATGGCAGCGTGTGCATAGAGGGCCATCTGTTGGTCATTTGAAGTAAAAACCAACCTGTCATCTCAAAAGCCAAAAAATAGAGTAGAAATTCTCGTTTTGCAGGGTGAGGCAGGTCAGACCCATCTGATATTTTACATAACATTTGCTACAATTGTACTGTGGTGATTTATCTGCTATTTCCTGTCAGGAAATATCAGGTATTTAGTGACAGGCCTTTAAATATTTGTCAAAGCCTCTTTTTTCTTTTTTTAAGGTTCACAGAAGGATTCTTTCAGCTTGACATAAATTTGTAGATTTATTCTTCTATAAGGCTTATATTTGGTAGGGCTTTCTTTTTTATGAGTTTTTTTTTTTTTTTTTTTACATTCTAGGTTTAATTTGATCACATGAAAATGTTAGTAATGTACCCGTCTTATGAAAGAAATGCAAGGAGTCACAACGTTTGCAGTTCAAGTTGGTCATAGATTCAGCAAAAAACTTAAATATCCACATCAGGTTCAGGTTGCTTTGAGTCCTAAAGGGCAATTAATGTTACCGCGAGTAAAAAGGAAGGAAAAAAGACATAAAAACTAAGAAACAATCAAAGCAACATCAAAAGCAGTTAATACAAGATAGGCAGAGTACCAACAGTCATCCAACAACAATTATCAACATTCATAATGTAGAATAAATAAAAACCAACCAATCAAATGCCAGTGATAGTCCTGTCTTGTGCTGCATTAAAAAGAAAAACAAAGGAGTGCTAATAATACTTCTCATACAAAGAAGTCTGAGCTGTAGAAAGCAGAAACTGGAACTTTTCATGTAAATAATGAGAGCTGTCGGAAATAATGCCTTTGGTTTTCCTGATTCTGTCAGTTGAACAGGTCTGTAAGACTGAACTGTTCAAGTCCCAGAATTGTATCTATTTCTCTACTTAATGGATTTATTTTTTTTACCAGAGTTTTTGACCAGACAAGAGAAAACATCAACACAGATTCAGTAAATGGTCTGTAAAAGAAGAATCTCAGTAACTTATTGATATAAAAGTTTTATATATAAAAGATATAAAAGTTTCAGAGACAAAACAGTCATTGCTCACCCTTTTACTGAGTTTTTCCAAAGCGCGTGTACAAAGAAGTTAAAAACACATCAAACAGATTAAAATTTAACAGATGAAAATTAAGCAGGTTAACTGCAAGTTCTCTGAATAACTTTTTAACTTATCCAGTATGGTTCCGAGATATTTGTAGTTTTCATCTGTCTCTGCTGTCTATCCTTTATCTTCTATTATCATCCTGCTAGTGTTTGTCAAATTTATTCAGTCTAGTTTGCACAATTAAAATGGAGATCAAAGATATTGAGAAATAGTAAAACTAGTAACAGTGTAGAAAGAGGCAAAAACCAATTAGCTTCCACCCAAATAGCATAGAACAAAATAATGTATTTATCAGTTGATCATAAAATTACGACATGCAGTCATATAAAATACATAGAAACACATCTACAAAGTATTAATAGAAATTTAAATAAAATAGAAAATGACACAGTTAATGAAGTACAGTTTTATTTACGGCATGCAGCATATTTAAACAGTTGACAGAAGTGCCTCACAAATTACCTGTAAGATAGAAGACGTAGAATAAAACTGTAATGCAATAAATGAAAACAATAAATCCTTTCTAAAAACTAATTAGCTTCTCTTATGTCAAAGGCCAGGGGAAAAATTAGTTTTTAAAATACATTGTAATGTGAGCAGCATGGACATGTAGAGGTCGCGTATTCCACTCTCTTGGGCTGCCACAGCAAATGTTCAATCACCTCAACATTTTAACTGATCCCAGAACACTGAGGAGAAACTGGCTGAGTGACTGGAGGACCCTGAAAGGTGTGGATATTGAGGAGATTGTGAAGACAGAACGTGGCTAGACCACTTAAAAATGTTAAAGTGAGCAATAAAGCTGTAAAATCAGTGCAATGACACATGGGAAGCCGATATAGAGATGTTAAGACTGGAGCTAGTGTTCATGCTGCTTTGTGCCAACTAGAGCTACTTGCAGGCATGACAAAGCTAGCCCGGCGTGTAGAGAGCTGCAATCGTTCCGAGAGGTGATAAAAGCATGAGTAATCGTCTCAAGATCCTTAAAAGAGAGTTAAGGTTTTTCTTTAGCATTGAGTAGTAGTTGGAAAAAAAATTGACTGCTGTTTGTCAAACTTAAGATAATTATCCAGAATAAAATAAGACCCCAATTAAAAAAAAAATAAAATAAATGAATGAATCATCTGTACTGGGCGCAATTAGATTTTCTAAATCAGATTACCTGAGTCTACTTTTTCTGAGGTTTTAATTTCAGCCAGACAGGTAAGTGCTTTACTGCTACTTGGCTTAAACTGGCAGACAAGCCTGGATGTTCTGCTACTGTGATCACAGTGTTTTTATCTCTTGCCCGGGGTGCTGTGTTGGGATTAAACGTGCAGCACTGGTTTTGCTTCTACACAAATTACGGAAGCTTCATTGTTGACAATGAAATTGTCTGTCCTGTCCACCTGGCTGCTAAAGAGGACTGAGTTCCTAGACTGACAGAGAAGTTCATACCTGTCTTGAAACAGAAAAGAGCTGTTCCTTTAATACCAACCAGAAAAACATAATCCTTTGGTTAATGGTATCACAGGCTGCTGATAAGTCCAAACAGACAGAATTCCCACCGTCTGCTGTTAAAAGAATGCCATTGAAAGGGCTGTGTCTGTGCTGTGCCGTGATATAAATCTCACCTGAACCTTCTCATAAAACAGCCTTAGTTACAGTGTCACTCTAGAATAAAATAATCCTTGAGAACTAATTTAACGGTAAGCTCTGCTGTTGTCATTGTAGCAATACTCCAATAAATACATATACGTGATCCGCCTTGTCATTTCTACTTAATAGACTGTAACATTGTATATTGCAATTTTCTCCATGAATAACCCTTTGTCTGTCTGTAGGCTGTCTAAGGCCGCAGATTTGGATCACCACTGGGTGGCCAAGGCCTGGTTAAGTGACGTGGGATTGCCTCAGTACTCCCAGGCTTTCCACACTCACCTGGTGGACGGGCGGATGCTGAACTCCCTGACCCGCCGTGACCTAGAACGTCACCTCAACATCACCAAGAAGTTCCATCAGGTCAGCCTGTTGCTGGGCATCGAACTGCTGCAGTCGCTCAACTTCAACAAGGAGGTGAGCAAGAAAAAGAGCTTCGGGGATGGATCTGCTTGAATGTGCACAAAACAAGTGATGGAAGCTATCAACTGGGTAAAATGTGTTTCACGAAATAATGTCCCAGGTGCTGCAGGCTCGCCGGATACAGTGTGAGCACGAGAATGAGGATCCGCTGGTATGGACGTCTCATCGCGTCATGAAATGGATCAAAGATATTGACCTCAAGGTGAGACAGCACAAAAAAAGACAGTATTCTCAAGTCTAAATGGTCAGAAAGACTCAAGCAAACCCACTTGGGAAATAATTTAAAATGAATAATTTGGACCAAACCAATGGCCCAAAGGTAAAGAAGTTCAAAGGAAAGTGCACAAAACAATTACTTATCAAAATGAAATGAATGAAAACAACATATTCTGAATCCAAATGCAATTTAGTCAAGAGTCTTAGAAAAATATCTTCTAGACAGCTAAATAAAGAGCTGATAGGATTTTAATTATTTGCTTATATGTCCAGGTAAATCTGGCACTCATCTTTTCTCAGAATAGACTTCAATGAGAGAAGGCACAGAGCAAAAAGAAGTGGATCAAGGGTTGAACCCTGAGGAACTCCGCCACGAAAAAGGGTTTGAGATGAACAGACAGTTTCTGTAATCAACACTGAAACTTCTGTCACTGGTGTATGAATAAAACCAGTTCTGCACCTTTAAATCTAACACTGTACCCCAGGCAAGAGATGAGAACACTGTGGTCAACGGCAGCAAATGCAGCTGTTGAATCTAAAAGGATATTACCAAAAAGATGTTGTTGTTTTTTGTTTGGTACATTTCCTGTAAGTTTTCTCTTTCTTCAACAGTCTATAATAGGAGATAATGAGACCATAAAACTGATTGAGGGAAGGAAGCAGTGATGGTAAACACTCAAAGTAGATCTTCTTTATTGAAGTGAAAATTGTTTCGTCATAGGGTTAGATAAACTAGGGTAGTTCTTTTTCATAGGGAGATAAGGAGCAGACTGAAAACGACCTTTGTTACCATACCTTAAATAGCCACGGCACCTGTCAGATCACATCCTCCTTATTGTTGCTGCTGGACAAGCATTTCCTGTGACACTGATTACAGTCACAGATAAGGATGTCTAATCTGGCATTGTATGGGTTTATACTTAAGTTTATATTTATCCTGAATAATACTGACTTCACTTTACATTGAGGTAAATCAATGGAAGGACTTTTTCCATACATCAATGAACAAAGGAGTAAAAAAACAAACAAAAAAAAAACATTAAGAGTCTGTTAAGTTTTGTTTTTTTATGTTTATTACCAGGAATACGCTGACAGCCTCCTCAGTAGTGGAGTTCATGGAGCTGTTATGATGCTTGACCCGTCTTTCAACACTGACTCAATGGCGACAGCACTGGGAATTCCCAGCAACAAACACATGGTCCGGCGACATCTTGATGAGGAGATGATGGCACTGATCAGCTCAGCCAGGTTGGCTGCAAATGTTCATGTCCAGCATGTGCAGGCTGCAGAAAAAATGAACAACGTTAGAGTTACAGAGAACATGACGCATCGTGCCTTGACTGGTGATCTAAAAATATCAAGAATATATTAAACCAGTCAAAAAGAAATATTCGTTTAACCAAATATTACCCGTGGGTAGTTTTACCCACCCAGCTGCAAGCTAAGAAACATTACTATGACCTCCAATGCAAATGTTCTATTCATTTGTAAATGCTTCACAAAGGTGAATTATGCCCTCTCCAAATGCTACTTGTATTAACCTTCTTTCTTTTCCTGCTTCCCTGTAGAGCAAATACACAGCAAAGTTATGATCTTTCAGGTGCGATAACTCCACCATCGCTGCTTCGGCAGAACTCTCTGACCAGACCTCCCAGCTCTAACGCCCGGCACACAGATGACGAGGGTTCTTTACGAAGGAGGGCTGTGAAGGTACATCTATCTCAGAAACAAAAGACTTTCTCTCAATTTCAACCTTTGTTGTGCAGCTCACGTCTTTGAGTTAACTGCAGATATTACTGTAGCAACAAATAGAATGTAAATCTACCAAAATATATGTCTCTGTATGTATTTGCGGTGATGAGGTTTTAATGTTTCAGCCTCCAATAGGGCTCAGCCCCAAAAAGCGGGGTGGGCGGGACCTGAGTTGCCATAGCAGTTTTGGCTCCTTACCACAGGAAGTTCGAGATCACACTCCCTCCAGATCCGAAGGAAGCCCAATCCGAGGATACTCAAGCATCGAGATCACAAACGTGTGATGGCAATAGGACTGGAAATGCAGTGAATACTCTGGACAGATTGCACTTTGAATAAAATATGTTTGGTTTTCTTTTTTAAGTTTCTTGACTTAAGTAAATTGTGCACAAGCAGCTATTTGCTGGTTTGGACTGTCATTTCTTTTTGCCCTTATGTCAAAGAACTGACAGACTTATTTTTCTATTATGTGTATTAATGTTTCTTGGTGGTTTGTTTATGTTGACTAACACCGACAGTCAAACTGATTATTCTACCCAAAGAATTGACTCTTTGTATTATACAGACTACTTAAAGATTAAAAAATGAAAAAGATTACGGTGTTAAATACTCTTGTTTCGTCACGTTCTCTCCATTGTGACACCTTCTTAATGTGGTGGACAGTTGAGAAAAATCTAAATAAAATTTGTAAGTTTTTATGTGTATTTTTTTTTTTATGTCCAATTACACCATTGTGTCTGAAGAAATGTAGCACCTCCTTTGGAGATCTATACTGTGCAGTAAACTTTACAATGCCAACAAAAGATGTGTGCTGTGATAAAATGAAATGAAAGTTTTGAAAATGAAAGGATAAAGAATGCTTGTGATAAAATAAAGATCATAATTCAAACACATCTGGACCAGTGAAAGTAATTTTTCAAATAATACAAAAAAAAAAGCCAATGTTTCTCAAAGACGCAGCGAGATGAAACTACATTTCACTTGCAATGTTATTGATGAAGTAATATCGTCCTTCAGATGAAGGGAGATTAAACAGGATGGGACCATCATCTGTTATTGTTTGACAACCAAGAAGCAGGAGGAGTTAAAGAAATCAAATGTTTTGTTTTAGCTGAAGCTTTGGAATCTGTTAATGAACAATTAAAAGAGTACTTGACCTTAAACACTATTTTATCTAGTTTTTTATGTGGTACTACATCTTTGAAGATCTTTCAGATTCTAGGTCCCAACTTGATGATAAAGTGAGTAACTAATAGATGAGTTCCAGAGCACCCTGCAGCTATTTAACAGATCCCAGAGTGTAAAAATGAGATGGTATTATTTCCACAAGTGTGAACATCTTAGAGGGTGTTATTCAATTGCCAATTCTTGGATCACTGCTTTTTATAATCTATATTAATGACGTTACCCATATTTTCTCCAACGCTATTTTTTTTATCTGTGTGCTGATGATACATTTGTTTTTCTGGTAGCACACAAGAAGTGGTACTCCTCAAATTCAATACAACCTTCAGTACTGTTCAAAATTCACTTGGTAACGTATAGCCTGCTTTGAATCCAGTCACATTCAATTTTTAGACTCAAGATCAAAGCTGACAAGTTGCATACCTATGACAATCTTGCTAGATTTTGGGTTTTCTCTTAGGCTAAATATCTTTGTATTGTAATTGACAAAAGTCTCATATTTAGACCAAACACTGGCCTTTATTTTGCAATAAATGTTGTTTCTGCAACCTTTCACCCATTTTGTTTTATGGGGAAGTTGTATGCATGTCTACATATTTCCTTTAAGAGACTGTATATGCTTGATTCAGTGTATCATGGTACTCTGAGTTTTAAAACAAGTCTCAAAGTGCCACTGTTTTGATATGAGAGGGTATATTACTCTCCTCTGTCCTCCAGAAGACTAAACCAATACTATATCCTAATTCATAAAGCAACTAGAATTATAAATACATGCCCACTCAGTTATATCAACCAAAACACTGCTTATGCTCACAGAACAGCTATCTTTCCAAAGTCCCATTGACCTGGCCTGGAATTAGTCACAGAAGGTCTTACATTTCCAAGAGCTGGTCTCTCTGAACACTTTTAAGTTTCTGAAGATCCTAGAAAGTAATAAATTCTGATGCAGATGCTTCTAAAACTTGATTGTACTCTTTGTTGTATATTTTAATGTTTAAGTTTTTGTGTGTGATACTGTCCCTGTGCTGCTGTTTTGGTCATGCGTCTCTTGTAATGTAGATTTTTAATCTCAATGAGGTTAATATTTTCTGGTGAAATAAAGGTGAAATGAAAAATCAGTGTGACATCTTTCTCTTTGATGTCTGTCCACCAGCCTGCATCCAGTGTTTGCATTGTAATCAACTGTTGTACTGGCCAATGGGTGGTGGCATTCTTCGTTATTTCCACTGTTTCTTCAGGTTTTAGCACAGACATGCTATGAATATCAAAGAACTAACACACATTTCCTACAGCAAGAGAGGCCGCTGCAAATTGCATGTACAAATCAAGAAAAGCTCTGCAAGACAAAAGCAATTATTAAACATAAAATAAGGAGTAAAACAGTGCCATAAAGAACGTACATGGTTCGGTGCTCATACTCAGATGTGAGATGGAACTTCCAAACTTTTCCATTTGTACCTCCATTATTGCTCATTTGTGCTGTGGGATGAGTCATGGTTTATAACGTGTTGTTTTGTATGGTGCAACTTCTTCCTGTAACTCACGGTGACTCCACCTTTATCCCAGACAAGTTGGGTGGATACTATCGTCTTGGATATCAGTGGAAAGGAAGGAGGAAGCTCCAATGGTGAAGCAGTCAGTGAAGAAGCACAATTCCCAATCAAGCTTTACAACCCTATCAGTAAGTTCACGGCATTTGATGTGAATGAGTTTACAACCTCATAACAGATAGAAACCTAATGAAGATAACGGTTATTTTGTTTAACCGCCTCCTTGTGGATGTGATATAATGATCCTCTTGAACATATTTAGTTTAAAGGTAACTAAATGGGAAGCTTCTGCCATTTAAATCAAGCTCGAATCCAAGTGTATTGTTTTCCTTCCCTGCCAGCAAATGTGATTACGAACTGACCGTGATGTAGCATCAATCCAGAGGAGCAGATTTAATCAGGACCCGTTCACAGTGGCTCTACACGTATTGCACCTTCCCCTATGTTCGTGTGCAGCGCAACAGAGTGAACCACTGTGATGCCTGAGAGGAAGAAAGCTTCCCCAGAGCCCAGAGTAACAAGGCGGCCTCATTGAAAAGGAACAATGCAACGACTTGGCAAGTGCTGGACATGTTTTTGCCATTATGCTGCAATAGACCTGGACTGTTCCCCATTCGGGCAGGTTGATGCAGCTGTTGGCTCTGGAAAGATGAAGTGCAAAGCAAAGCGGAGCATATTTTGAAGAAGTCAGCTTGAAAACACAGACGCACATCAAAAACATATGATGAAAGATAAATCATGTCATGTGACCGCCCGTGCCCAAAGCGCAATTGAGGTATGACTATAGGTATGTGGTAAATTTACAAAGAGGAAGTAAAAGCTAAGTAATGATAAAACTTGGTTTACTGGATGTAGACGTACTAAATTATTCTGTGTTACTGACGTTCGACCTTGTTGATTGTTGTAAAAATGCACGAAGGAAAAGGTTAATTGCATTTTCCTAGAAATTTCATTTTGCAACAGTTCCCCAAACTGTTGCAAAACTCTGCTGACATTTGAAGATATTGTTGTTGTTCTAAGCCCAGTTAACATTTTATTGTCACTACCTGAGAAACATTTTAGTGCCTTTGATGACCTAGTCTGATAGATAACAGAGGCATTATTTTTGATAGGATTGTTGCATCATTCTGTTCAGTAATGTGACAAAGTATGAGAAATTTCACCGCTGCTGTGTAACACATCTGCTAGACATTGGCTTGAAGATGCACACTCTCATTTTCAAGCTGAGATGTAAAATCATTCAGCCAAAAAAAAAAAAAATTATATATAGAAAACTGCCTCACCCAGCTGTTGTTTTTCTGATTATGATGTTCGTGATATTCTCCTTGAACTGTAACATTTATGGTCACTAAAACCTGTCAGAGGTGGTCATAAAAAATTTTGTAAAACTCAAAAGTTGTATGCAAACAGCTCTTTGTGATTGAAATACTGCACTGACTAACGTTGCAATGAAAAATGTGGCTTGATCCATTAAGGAGATTTTTCTTCAGACAGATTTTTTTTTTTTTAGAGAAAATACTTTTTTTTTTCTCTCTTTTCCAAACCTGAATTCTAAAATTGCATCAAACATATTCCACATTTCTTTTGTCTGTATGTGGTTTACAGTCTCATCACACTATGCTGTGTGGTGCTCTGACAAAAGTCTCTTCAAATTGCACTTAAATCGAATTACTTAGACAAGTACCGATTACCAGCCATCATTTTAACCTAATAACACTTGTAGGACTGACCTTTCAGGCTATTCTTAGGCATTTGGAGACAGTATGTCTTTTTTTATTATTATTATTGGTTGTCTCATCATTAACTATCATAAACACTGAATGTTAATTTTATTTTCCTGACACTCTTCACGGTGGCTCTAAAGGGAAATTAGAACCTGAACCAGATGTAGGAGGAAGTATGCCTGTGGGCGAGAGCCAGTTTGGGAGACCAATCCAAACAAGTATCTTTTACAAAATGATACAAATGATATCAAAGTTAGGTCCACATCAACTCTAAAGTTTTCAAACTATGTCCAAATGAAAATATGTTCTCTGAAACAATCTTTGTCCCTTTTCACAAATTCCTTACAACCAACGCTTCGTTTCTATGGATTTTGCATCTCAAGGGCTTGAATGTGGCACTGTAACTCAGGTATAGAAATACATAAAAAATCAAAAAACAAACAGAGTATCACACATCTGGAGAAGTAATCTCTACTTTGTTTGGGGTTGAATGTTAGATTACGGCTATGGTGAAGTTATGATGGCATTGTTTTCAAGCAGTCAGTGTTGCCAGTACTAGGCCTAGAGTACTAATTTATTAATTAATTAATGTTGCGAAGTTTGTACTAATTTTCTTACTACCCATATGAGAACCAGCTAGACCACCCAAGTTGGTTCTAAACCCACGTTTAGCCCAGGCCATCTCACTACTCATCACCTGACCTGAGCTAAATCCTACGCACATAACGGTTGTCTCACGAGACTTAAAAAAAAAAACTACCACTTACTTTAGGAACATAGAAAATACAGTTTTTCTAAAATATCATTTCATTTAAAAAAAAGAAAGCAATAGAAGTAAATGTGGGTGTGGTTTTAACATGTTGTAGGGTTGAAAAATGTCGTCATGCAAAAATATTTAGCGCCAAGCTACCTATGTGGAGTAAGCCAGGAGTGAACGGGTTAATCAAACTGGAAGTGCGCTGCGGCCGAAAGCCCCCTCCTTCCTGCTTCTAAATGTGCCCGGGCCCATCCTTCTCTGAGGAAAGTTCCTTATTCGTAAACGAAAACGGTCTGTTTACAGTCAAACTCGTTAGAAATTAAACGTGAGCAGCATAGCGACTTATAGCTTTGTGAAAGAAAGAAAGAAAGAACGAAGGAAAGAAAGAAACCGCAAGGAAGACCGGCAAATGATACAGAGGTGAGTGTGTTCACAGTGTACTCATTCGACGAAGCAGCTACCCGCGTATTAGTTTGTATCGCACAAATGAAAATAAAGGCAATGGCTGCATTTGTGATGCATAAAAACCTGCTTAAAGTATAATTACAACCCTATGTTATTGAGGTCGAAACTACTTCCTCGAGTTGTTTAGTGAAGCGGCACTGTTGGTCACCTAGTTTTGGTTTAGTAACGATCAAAGAAACATCTGCTTGACATACTTTTTGGATAATAAAACGGTGTTTACTACGTGTTGGAGACATCAAGCCTTGCT